AAACTCAAATAAACAAAATAAGAAACAAAAAAGGAGACAGCTGATATTTCAGAAATATAAAAAAACCATAAGAGAATACTGTGAACAATTATATGCCAAAAATTCAACAACCTAGAAGAAATGGACCAGGACAAGTTTCTAGAAGCATATAGCCCACCAAAATCAAGAAGAAACTGATAATTTGAACAGACTGATCACCAGAAGTGAAACAGAATCTGTAATTAGGGAACTCCCTGGTGGTCCAGCGGTTAGGACTTGGCACTTTCACTGCTGTGGACTGGGCTCAGTCTCTGACCAGGAAACTTATATCCTGCAAACCATGCACTGTGGAGGAAAAAAAAGAATCTGTAATTTTAAAACTTCCTACAGAAGTCCAGGACCAGATGGTTTCATAGGGAAATTCTACCAAACATACAGAGATGAACTTATACTGATCCTTCTCAAACTGTTCCCAGAAAAATGAAGAGGGGGAAACATTCTCCAAAGACATCGTATGAAGCCACCATAACACTGATACCAAAATCAGAGAAAGACACCACCAAAAAAAAAAAAATTACAGGCCACTAAATTTGATGAATATAGAAGCAAAAATTTGCAACAAAATATTAGCAAATACTGAATCCAACAGCGCATAAAAAAGATCATACACCATGACCAAGTGTGATCTATCCCAAGTTCACAAGGTTGGTTCAACATATGTGAGTAAATGTGATATACCACATAAACAAAAGACAAAAACCACATGATCATTTCAATAGACGCAGAAAAAGCACTTGACAGAATTCAACATCCATTCATAAAAACTCTTACCAAAGTGAGTACAGAGGGAACATATATCAATATAATAAAAGCTATTTATGACAAACTCATTACCAATAAATACTGAATGGCGCACAGCTGAAAGCCCTCCCACTAAAATCTGCAATAAGACAAGGATGCCCTCACCTCTTCTATTCAACACAGTATTGGAAGTCCTTCCTAGCCACAGCAATCAGACAAGAAAAAGAAATAAAAAGTATTCAAATTGGAAACAAAAAGGTAAAATTGTCATTATATGCAGATGACATGATACTATATACAGAAAATCCTAAGCAAGCCACACAAAAACTAGTAAAACTGAACAATTAATTGAGCAAGGTAGCAGGATTTAAGATTAACATACAGAAATCAGTTGATTTCTTTACACCAACAATGAAATATCAGAAAGGGAATATTAAAAAAAATACATTTTAAAATCATACCCCAACAAATAAAATATTTAGGAATAAACATGACCAAGGAGGTTAAAGACTTATACATTGAGAATAAAACATTAATAAAGGAAACTAAAGATGACTCAGCAAATTTGGAAAACTCAGCAGTGGCAACAGGACTGGAAAAGGTCAGTTTTCATTCTAATCCCAGAGAAAGGCAATGCCAAAGAGTGTTCAAATTACCGCACAATTGCATTCATCTCACATGCTAGTAAAGTAATGCTCAAAATTCTCCAAGCCAGGTTTCAGCAATACATGAACCATGAACTTCCAGATGTTCAAGCTGGTTTTAGAAAAGGCAGAGGAACCACAGATCAAATTGCAACATCCGTCAGATCGTCAAAAAAGCAAGAGAGTTCCAGAAAAACATCTACTTCTGTTTTATTGACTATGCCAAAGCCTTTGACTGTGTGGATCACAACAAACTGTGGAAAATTCTTCAAGAGATGGGAATACCAGACCACCTGACCTGCCTCTTAAGAAATCTGTATTCAGGTCAAGAAGCAACAGTTAGAACAGGACATGGAATAACAGATTGGTTCCAAATAGGGAAAAGAGTATGTCAGGGCTTGTATATTGTCACCCTGCTTATTTAACTTACATGCAGAGTACATCATGAGAAACACTGAGCTGGATGAAGCACAAGCTGAAAAAAATTGCCAAGAGAAATATCAATAACCTCAGATATGCAGATGACACCCCACTTAGGGCAGAAAGCAAAGAAGAACTAAAGAGCCTCTTGATGAAAGTGAAAGAGGAGAGTGAACAAATTGGCTTAAAACTCGACATTCAGAAAACTAACATCATGGCATCTGGTCCCATCATCACTTCATGGCAAATAGATGGGGAAACAGTGACAGACTTTATTATTTTGGGCTCCAGAATCACTGCAGATGGTGACTACAGCCATGATATTAAAAGACACTTGCTCCTTGGAAGAAAAGTTATGACCAACCTAGACAGCATATTAAAAAGCAGAGACATTACTTTGCCCACAAAGGTACATCTAGTCAAAGCTATGGTTTTTCCAGTAGTCTGTATGGATATGAGAGTTGGACTATAAAGAAAGCTGAGTGCTAAAGAATTGATGCTTTTGAACTGTGGTGTTGGAGAAGACTCTTAAGAGTCCCTTGGACTGCAAGGAGATCCAACCAGTCTATCCTAGAGGAAATCAGTCCTGAATATTCACTGGAAGGACTGATGCTGAAGCTGAAACTACAATACTTTGGCCACCTGAGGCAAAGAACTGACTCATTTGAAAAGACCCTGATGCTAGGAAGGCTTGAAGGTGGGAGGAGAAGGGGACGACAGAGGATGAGATGGTTGGATGGCATCACCGACTCAATGGACATGAGTTTGAGTAAACTCTGGGAGTTGGTGATGGACAGGGAGGCCTGGCATGCTTCAAGTCCATGGGGTTGCAAAGAGTCAGACATGACTGAGTGACTGAACTGAACTGAACTGAACAGAGAAAGGGAAAGAAATCTCACGCTCTTGGATTTGAAGAATTAATAATGATAGCTAAAACTGTCATACTACCCAAAGCAGCCTACAGATTTAATGCAATACCTATCAAATTACACATGACATTTTTCAGAGAGCTAGAACAAGTTATCTTAAAATTCATACGGAGTCATGAAAGAGCCAGAATTGCCAAAGCAATCCTGAAGAAAAACAACAAAGCAGGAGGCATAACTCTCTCAGACTTCAGAAAACAGTACAAAGTTATAATAATCAAAACAGTATGGTATTGGCACAACAGACATGAATCAATGCAACAGTCTAGAGAACCCAGAAATAAACCCACTCACCTATGGTTAGTTAATCTTCAAAAAGGTGGTGAGAATATACAATGGGGAGAAAGTCTTTTCAGCAAGTAGTGTTGGAAAAGGTGGACAGCCACATGTTAATCAAAGAAGTTATAACACTCCCACACAGCATACACAAAAAGAAACTCAAAATGGCTTAAAGACTTAAATATAAGGTGCGTAAGTCGCTTCAGCCGTGTCCAACTCTTTGCAACCCACCAGGCTCCTCTGTCCATGGGATTCTCCGGGTAAGAATACTGGAGTGAGTTGCCATGCCCTCCTCCAGGGGATCTTCCTGAACTAAGGATTGAACCTGTGTCCCTTACATCTCCTGCACTGGCAGGAGGATTCTTTACCACTAGCATCACCTGGGAATCCCAAAATATAAGATATGACATCATAAAGCTCCTAGAAGAGATCATAGGCAAAACATTCTCTGACATAAATCATACTGATGTTTTCTTAGGTCTCCCAAGACAATAGATATAAAAACAAAAATAAACAAATGGAACCTAATTAAACTTAAAAGCTTCTGCACAGCAAAGGAAACCATAAACAAAATGAAAAGACAACCTCCAGAATGGGAGAAAATATTTGCAAGCAATGTGACTGATAAAGGCTTAGTGTCCAAAACATATAAACAGCTCATATAACTCAGCAACAAAAAACCAAACAACTGAATTGAAAATTGGGCAGAAGATCTAAGTAGACATTTCTGCACAAAAAGAAATACATGTGGCCAACAGGCAGTGGTAACCCATTCCAGTATTCTTGCCTGGAAAATTCCATGGACAGAGGAGCCTGGCAGGCTGTAGTCCACGGGGTGGAAAAGAGTGGGACGTGACTGAGTGACTAACACTTTCACTTTCAACAGCACACGAAAAGATGCTCAACATGGCTCATTAGAGAACTGCAAATCAAAACTATAACGAGGCACCACTTCATACCGGTCAGAATGGCCATCATTAAAATGTCTACGAATAACGTGCTCCTCATAGATGTCTCGGGCCAGGTCCCCCCATCGCTTTACTGGGAATTCTGCTTGGGCCACAGTCCTTTCTTGAACCTCTGACCTCAGATCTCGCTCCTATCCTTGCCCTTCCCAGAATGACTAAGACCCACCCCCAAGAATGTGCTTGTGGCTGGGCTCCTCCATCGCCCCTTTCACATTCCCAGACATAAGAAGGTGTGTGTCCCCTTCATGTGACATGGGAAGGCATGGATGGCACCTGGAGCATGTGCACATGAGGGACCCCTGTGGTCACACATGCAGCTGCAGGGCAACCTCCTCCAGCCTCAGGAACCCCCTTCCAGGAGACAGGAAGGTAGCATCCTTCTCTCCAGACCCTGCCTTCCAACGTAGGGGCAAGAACTGCCTGAGCGATAATGGCCACTCTCTTGCTCTTGCAACACCAACGTAAGTTTCCTTTTCCCTCCTTTCTCCTCTGGACCCCAAGCCTCAGACCCTTGGCCCCTTTAGCAATGGAGACACAGAGGCATAAATTGACTACCAGAGGGCTTCAGCCAGCCGTTTGCCATGTCTTCAGAAACCTGTGATAGCCATGCCCGATTCAAATATCTTTGATTGCCTCATGTATTTTAATATCGCCTGTATATTAGTTGTTCGATTCATATCTGTTCAATGAATGGCTGAAAAAAACGAATCAATGTTTTAATAAATAAATAAATCCATTGTTTTGTCAGGTTAGTCTCTGGGGAAACGTGCTAAGCCTCCTGTATTAGCCATTAATGCTGTTAACATTATGAGCAATATGTGGTCAAAACTGTTTTCTTGGTCCATTCAAAATTGAGAGGAAAAGGTACACTTTTTTAGGGTGCACCTCACAGTCAGAAATCCAAATGCCTTTCCACGCATCTGGATGGAGAATCGCCTCACATCACAGCTTTAGGTGCTGGTTGGCTGGCCTCACCACCTGGCTTAGATACCGGAATTTAACTTCAGCTGTTGCTGTTTTCCTGCATGTTTTTTGGTCTTCTTGTCTTGAGACTTTTGCCACCAAGTCTTTCCATTCATTATAAAAATATTGTATGTCATGTCTGCCGGAGAATGTCTAAAACAAAAGACACAGAAGCTTTACTCCACAACTAGATGTGTAGCAATCCCTAATGTCTATTCCTTGGGAGGCAATAGAGGCCGACAGTTCTTAGCGGGGAAGTCTGAGAACTACCCATCAGGAAGATGTGTCATGTGTGAATGCTGTTAACATTCATTTTGCTCATCATTTTAACAATTCATTTTGCCTCTGAGAATTATGGAGCCTCTGGAAATGTCCTCCCCCATCCTCAGCTTTCTCAGAACCAACCCAGGCTCTTCACAGCTTTGATTCTTGTCTTTGGAACAGAGCCACAGCCTTCACTACTTCTTTTGATACCTCTGAAAGACCCAGGAAGGAAATGGTGACTCTGATGGATAGGCCCCCGTCAGAACCATGAAATGGGCCAAGTTTATTCCCAGGAGCTCTTTAAATCTTCTCTCTCTAACATTTGCCATATCCAGGGCTCCTCTTTCACTTCAAGAGACCAACTGCTGCCTCAGAGGAGAGAGCTGGGTGTGAGGTGGTGGTGGTTGGCCTGAAAGGGTTACTGGTCCTGGGAGCCTTGGCATTTTAAAGGACACTTTTAGGGAAAGCCATGCCACTGTTGTAGGGAAATGTAAATACTGCAGTGATGGGGGCAGGTGGGATCACCACACACCATGCCCCTTTCCCTGTGGACAGGCTGAGCATCCAACACAGTGGTGGGCAGGAGCTGAGCGGCCCTAGGGAGCTGCTCTTCCCTGTGTGTGTCCCAAGGGATGCAGGTGGAGGCACATAATTTCGAGGTACCGTTACTGCAAAGGCACGATGTTGTAAACCCTGTGTTGTGCCCGCTCCTGGTCAGAGCCACTGTGCCTGAGCTCTCCCTTCAGGTGGATAACTGAGGTATTTAAGAGCCAGTACAGGAGGACACTGACTCGTCAAGATGGCCACAGCTGGAACAGAGGCCTGGAGGAGGGGCTGCTTACCAACCAGTAGAGGCATATTTCAATATTTTACTAATCAGCACTGCTGCAGGAGCGTGAGCGAGCTGAACGTCAGCCCTCCTCTCCTCTCCGCCAGAGCCTCCCTCCCCACACTCGCGGAGCTGGGCCTTTCCATTCCTTTCTACCCCACGGTCCTGTTTTCTGACCTTTCTGCCGGAGGCTGTCCCATCTCCGCTATCAGTGGCCCTCAGCGTAAGAAGCGGTGTGGCCTGATCTGTGGTGGCATTCAGAGGCCAGGACGGCCCAGACCAGGAAACCCCAAACCCAGCTGTGCATTGGAACCAAAGGCAGGGTGTCCAGGAACCGTGCCAGCTAATGCTGACACACAGCCAGGCCCGGAGGCCCCGCTCTGCTGCTGGATCCGGGGCCAGAGGACGCTCTGGCCAATGCTGGTACAGACACCTGTGGGCTCCTGGGAGGAGGCGGCGCTAAGAGCCACTCACAGCGACTGTCTCTTCCTGACGTACATGAGCAGCGCCAGGAGCAGCAGCACCGCGGCCATGGCAATCCCCACCACCGAGACGGCAGCGACGATGATGTTCTTCTGGAGGAACTGCAGGAGCTGTGAGCACGGCATGCCCCTGCTCGGAACATCTAAGTGAGAAGACACACAGCCGAGTCAACAGGGAGCAGCCATCCCGTACAGATCCGCAGCACGGCCTGTTGGTTCTGCTTGCACCCCGGATGGAAACCTCAACTGCTGGCTCCAGGGGTCCTCTTGGGGAAGAAATGGCTATGTTTAGGGAAAGACATTCATGACCTCTTTGGTGGCGAAGGTGAGATGCTGAGGGTATGAGCTAGCGAGGGGCCAAGTGACCAGTCTGGAGCAGGTGAGGAGAGAAAAAGGTGAGAGTGAATATGCAGGGAGGAGGTAGGGCCACCATTGGGGGTGAAAGTCCTGCTGTGATGGTTTTTAAGAAGGATGGAGTCAAAACCATAAAAAAGGAGTGAAATAATGCTGTTCCCAGCAACATGATTGGACCTAGAGATGATCATACTGAGTAAAATAAGTCAGACGGAGAAAGACAGATTACCATGCTATCACTTACATGTGGAATCTAAAAAAATGACACAAGTGGACTAATTTACAAAACAGAAACAGACTGACATAGAAAACAAACTTTTATGGTTACCAAAAGGGAAGGAGGGGCAGGGATAAACCAGGAGTTTGGAATTAGCAGATATAAACTACTATATATGAACTATATAAACAACAAGGTCCTACTGTATAGCACACGGAACTATATTCAATGTCCTATAATATACTGTAATGAAAAAGAATCTGAAAAAGAATATGTGTGTGTGTGTATACGTTTATATCCTGAATCACTTTGTTGTACACCAGAAACTGATACAACATTGTAAATCAACTATACTTCAATAAACAAAAAAAAAAGAAAAACAGAGTCAGGTATTCAGTCCAAGGCTTTCACAGGGCAAAGATACAGTCTCTTCTCTGCTGCCTGCCACTCCCAGCTTCAGGAAATTATACCATGCACACTATCTGCCTTGTGTGTGTGTGGGTTTGGGGGAATTTCATGACATAAGGCAAACATGATGCTGAGCTCTTTCGACCCTTGAGGACTTGCAGAAAGCTTGAGGGTAGATTTGGAATGCCCCTGCATGTGGGCTGGGGACTACAAGGCAATCTTAGCTAGAGCTCAAAGGAAGGTATCCTCAGCTGACACTGGGGACTCAGAGCTTCTGTCACCCCATTTGTAACGTGACTCCAAACAGACACAGGAACCAGGGAAATGGGGCACGGAGGTACAATGACAGGGATCAGATGTGGAGAGCTGCTGAGGGGAGCTTAGTGATGCAGGCAGGAGGATGGTGGCCAAGGGCCTTCTTGGGATATAGGGAGACAATTGGGGCACTTCCAACTCCCCACCTTCATCAGCTGTATGTGAAGAGGCAGCAGCAGCAAGCAGCTCTAAGGGCTTTGCTGGAATGATTCAGCATTTAATCCCTGAGAGTTAGGAAGTAACAACCAGCTATGATTTTGATAGTGGGTGGCTATGAGGAGGGAGTGTCCTGGGCTTGGTACCAGCAAATGGCCACGACAGGTAAGTTTCTATCCATTCTGAATGGGCCCAGCTCAGGCTATCCAAGGTGAAGATCAAGGACTAGGTTAACCTTTGGCATGTAATCCCTCCTGCTTGTTAGAAAGCATCGGTGCTCAGTAATGTCAAGGACTGTGAACACGATGTCTGTGTTATGAGTGACCCTAGCTGTGTAGAAACAACATCAAAGTAGCATCTTTCTGAAAGTGAAAGTGAAAATGTTACTCACTCAGTCATGACCGACTCTTGCAACCCCACAGACAACAGACCACCAGCTCCTCTGTCCATGGGATTCTCAAGGCAAGAATACTGGAGTGGGTTGCCATTCCCTTCTCCAGGGGATCTTCCTGACCCAGGGATGCAACCCAGGTCTCCTGCATTGCAGGATTCTTTACCATCTGAGCCACCATGGAAGACCATCTTTTTGAAAGGGTAGGGGCAAATTCTTGGAGTTAGGGACTTCCCTAGCAGTCTAGTGATTAAGACTCTGTGCTTCCACTGCAGGGGGCACTGGTTCAATCCCTGGTCAGGGAACTAAGGTCTTGAATGCCTCGTGGCATGGCCACAGGACAGATTTTTTTTTTTAATTCCTGGAGTTAATTTAATTCATAATTTTAACTGCTATCTATACGCTTTTGTGAGTAAATTAAAGGTGTGCTGACATCTAGTCTGTTCCCTTAAAATACCATGAAAGGCAAACAGACGCCTTCTGAAGACATCCATACTGAGGCATCTTTTTTAGCTCATGCTGTGCAGATTATTATTAATACCTGGACTGACTGCTTCTTGACGCGTCCCTTTATCGATGGTCGTTGATTGCGTATCACTCACATCCCTGTTGAAGAGAGAGGATTCTTGCTCCCTCTGCTCCTCTGCAATGTGATCTACAAAAGACAAAACATACAATGTGTTCATCTTTCATCTAAAAACATCCAGCGGCCTGTGACTAGTTCTGTTTTCATGATGAAAGTAAATGCCTCCAGAGTCAAAGTGAGGAGTCAGCAGAAAGGTCCAAATGTACATCAGTGTTTTGGGTTTTTTTTTTTAATTTATTTATTTTTGGTTGCACTTGGTTTTTGTTGCTGTATGTGGGCTTTCTCTAACAGAAACACAGGCTCCAGAGCATGCATTGTTTATTTTTTTAATCTAACACATTCCTGGATGGATCCAAGCCCTGATTTTCACCCTGGAGTGTGCATCAGAATCACCAGGAGGCCTTGCTAGAACACAGGTTGCTGGGCCCCACCCTAGAGTTTCTGATTCAGTAAGTTTGGGGTGTGGCATCCCAAGTGATGCTGGTGCTACTCATCAGGGACCACACCTACAGGACCTAGCAAGAGCCTTTCAACTAGTTGCCAAGCCTCTCTGACCCCAGTGTCAACTAGTATAAAACAAGAGATAATAAGACCTATCTCCCTGATAGTATGATGTTTATGAAAACAAATCATAACCACAAAATACTATTAAAAAAATGTTTCTTGAGGTATGTGATCAAGATGGCAGAATAGGAAGACCCTGAGCTCATCTCCTCTCATAAGCACAACAAAATTACAACTATTTGCAGAACGACCGTCTATGAGAATGACCTGAAGACCAGTAGAAAAGATTTCCCACAACTAGAGATGTAAAGAGGAAACCATGGTGGATTAAACCAGGGTATAATCAGGACCTACTCCGCAGGCAAGGTGATCTGCAAATAGGAGGGCAATCACAACTATGGATATTCTCCCCAAGGAGCAGGGGTTCAAACCCCACTTCGGGCTCCCTAGCCCAGGGCTCCTGCACCAGAAGATGAGCTTCCTGGCTTTGAAGGCCAGCAGGGTTTGCAAATGGAAGAGATAAATGGTTGTAGAAAACCAGGGACTTCCCTGGTGGCCCGGTGGCTAAGACTCCATGCTCCCAATGCAGGGAAGGCAAGTTCGATCCCTGGTAAAGGGGCTGGATTCCACATGCCACAGTTAAGAGTTCACCTGCCACAACTAAGACCTGGTGCAGCCAAATAAATAAATATTAAAAAACAAACAAAACAAATAAACAAAAACCAACAGAGACTCTGCTCTTGTAGAATACACCCAAAACCTCAGTCCCAGCACAGAGGCAATACTTTGAAAGGACCCTTGCTGATCTCAGAGAGGCCCCCAGAGAGGGAGGAGGCAACAGGAACTCCCCCTGAGAAAACGGACGCTGGCATAGCCATTTTGGGTGACTGGTTCTTCCACAAGGACTCTGGGGCTGGCAAGCACCATCGTGGAGTCTTGGAGTCCTTCCTCTAGTCTACCAGTGCTGGCGGCTTGCCGCCCACCATTGGACTGGCACCAGCCCCAGGACGCCTGGGCTGTGCAGCCAGCCACACCAGGACCCAGTGCCGCAACACCAGAGGGCACGGGGCAGGGCCTGGCAGCCGACTAAGGGCCAACCTCACCTACCAGCACCCACAGGAGCCGGCCCTGTCACGACAGAAGAGCCCATCAAGCCCGCAGAGCAGGCGCTGATAGAGCACACAGCTTGGGTGACCACAGGGACGTGGCTGTGGGCCCCCTAGCGAGTCTCATACATAAGGCCACTTCTCTAAGAAAAGGAAACACGGCTGATTTACTTAACACTCAGAAATAAACACAATGAGGTAAAATGTGGACACATACGAAGATATTTCAAATAGAGCAATAAAACAAAACCCCCAGAGAACTAGGCAAAGTATAGAGAAGCAACCTAGCAGATAAAAGAGGTCAGGGTCAGATCATAAAGATGCTCAATGAACTTAGGAGAATGATGAACACAGTGAGAAGTTTAACAAAGAGTCAGCAAATATAAAGAAGAAACAAACAGACTTGAAGAATAGTAACTGAAATAAAAAATACACTAGAGGGAACCAACAGTACATTAGGTAATACAGAGGAACGGGTCCACAAACTGGAAGATGGAGGAGTGGAAATCACCCAAGCTGAGCATAAAAGAGAAAAAAGAATTTTAACAAATGAGGATAATAAATGTAAAAATATAATATGTTTATATGTTATGTTAAATAATGTTTATATGTTATGTTCAACTGAATATAATATGTTAATATATTAATGTTAATGGAGAAAAGACAATCTCTTTAACAAGTGGTGCTGGGAAAAGCAGTCAACCGCCTGTAAAAGAATGAAACTAGAACACTTTCTAATACCATACACAAAAATAAACTCAAAATGGATTAAAGATCTAAATGTAAGACAAGAAAATATAAAACTCCTAGAGGAAAACATAGGCAGAACACTCTCTGACATAAATCACAGCAAGATCCTCTATGACCCACCTCCCAGAGTAATGGAAATAAAAGCAAAAATAAACAAATGGGACCTAATTAAACTTAGAAGCTTTTGCACAATGAAGGAAAGTATAAGCAAAATGAAAAGACAGCCTTCAGAATGGGAGAAAGTAATAGCAAATGAAGCAACTGACAAACAATTAATCTCAAAAATAAACAAGCAGCTCATACAACTCAACACCAGAAAAATAAATGACCAATCAAAAAATGGGCCTAAGAACTAAACAGACATTTCTCCAAAGAAGACATACAAATGGCTAATAAACACATGAAAAGATGCTCAACATCACTCATTATCAGAGAAATGCAAATCAAAACCACAATGAGGTACCATCTCACGCCAGTCAGAATGGCTGCTATCAAAAAGTCTACAAACAATAAATGCTAGAGAGGATGCAGAGAAAAGGGAACCCTCTTACACTGTTGGTGGGAATGCAAACTAGTACAGCCACTATGGAGAACAGTATGGAGTTTCCTTAAAACACTGGAAATAGAACTACCATATGACCCAGCAATCCCACTGCTGGGCATACACACCGAGGAAACCAGAATTGAAAGAGACACGTGTACCCCAATGTTCATCACAGCAGTGTTTATGATAGCCAGGACACGGAAGCCACCTAGATGTCCATCTGCAGACAAATGGATAAGAAAGCTGTGGTACGGGCACACACACGGAGGAAACCAGATCTGAAAGAGACACGTGCACCCCAATGTTCATCACAGCACTGTTTTTAATAGCCAGGACATGGAAGCAACCTAGATGCCCATCAGCAGACGAATGGATAAGGAAACTGTGGTACATATACACCATGGAATATTACTCAGCCATTAAAAAGAATTCATTTGAATCAGTTCTAATGAGATGGATGAAACTGGAGCCCATTATACAGAGTGAAGTAAGCCAGAAAGATAAAGACCATGACAGTATACTAACACATATATATGGGATTTAGAAAGATGGTAACGATAACCCTATATGCAAAACAGTAAAAGAGACACAGATGTACAGAACAGACTTTTGGACTCTATGGGAGAAGGCGAGGGTGGAATAATCTGAGAGAACAGCATTGAAACATGTATATTATCAAGTGTGAAACAGATCGCCAGTCCAGGTTGGATGCATGAGACAAGTGCTCGGGCCTGGTGCACTGGGAAGACCCAGAGGGATCAGGTAGAGAGGGAGGTGGGAGGGGGGATGGGGATAGAGAATACATGTAAATCCATGGCTGATTCATGTCAATGTATGACAGGACCCACTACAATACTGTAAAGTGGTTGGCCTCCAGCTAATAAAAACAAATGAAAAAAAAGAAAGAAAGCTGTGGTACGTATACACAATGGAATATTACTCAGCTATTAAAAAGAACACATTTGAGTCAGTTCTAGTGAGCTGGATGAAACTGGAGCCTGTTACCCAGAGTGAAGTAAGCCAGAAAGAAAAACACCAATTCAGTATATTAATGCATACATATGGAATTTAGAAAGATGGTAACAATGACCCTATATGTGAGACAGCAAAAAAGACACAGATCTAGAGAACAGACTTTTGGACTCTGTGGGAGAAGGCGAGGGTGGGATGATTTGAGAGAATAGCATTGAAATGTAAATTACCATACGTGAAATAGATGACCAGTCCAAGTTCAATGCATGAAACAGGGCACTCAAAGCCGGTGCACTGGGACAACCCAGAGGGATGGGGTGGGGAGGGAGGTTGGAGTGGGGTTTAGGACGGGGGGACGCATGTACACCTGTGGCTGATTCATGTCAATGTATGGCAGAAGCCACCACAATGTTGTAAAGTAATTAGCCTCCAATTAAAATAAATTAATTAATTTTAAAAAATAAAGTAAAATAAAAATATTTCCAAAAATGAGGATATGTTAATATATAAATATGTATGTTAAATTAAAAAAATTCAAAAAATGAGGGTATGTTAATATATTAATATGTTAAAAAACATTTCAAAAAATGAGGAGAGTAAATTTTAAAATAGAACATGTTAATATATTGTGTTAAATCAAATATAATATGCTAATATATTAATGTGTGTATCCTTCTCCAGGGGATCTTCCCAACCCAGGGATCGAACTCAGGTCTCCCTCATTGCAGGCAGATTCTTTACCAGCTGAGCCACAAGGGAAGTCCTTAATATATACTAATGTGTGTGTGTGTCCGACTCTTTGCAAATCTATGGACTGTAGCCCACCAGACTCCATGTAAATGGGATTTCCCAGGCAAGAATACTGGAGTGGTTTGCCATTTCCTTCTCCAGGGGATCTTCCCAACCCAGGGATCAAACCCAGGTCTCCTGCATTGCAAGCACTGAGCCACCAGGGAAGCCTGGAATATGTTAATATGTATATTAAATTAAAAAATGTTTTAAAAAATGAGGATAGTTTAAGAAACCTCTGGGACAACATCAAGAAAACTAACATTCACACTGCAGAGACCAAGAAGCAGAAGAGTGAAGAAAGGGGCAGGGAACTTACTTGAAGAAATAATAGCTGAAACTTCCCTAAGCTGGGAAAAGAAATAAACACCCAGGTCCAAAAAGCACAGTCTCAAACAGGATGAATCCAAAAAGGTCTGCACCAAGATCTAAAGTGGCAAAAATTAAAGATAAAGAATATACTCCAATAACAAGAATTTTAAAAGAAAAAAATAAAGAGGAAATCCACAAAGCAGCAAGGGAAAAGCAATTTGTCATGTATAAGGAAACTTCCATAAGACTATCAGCTGACATTTCAGCAGAAACTTTGCAGACCAGAAGGAAGCGGCATGATGATCAAAGTGGTGAAAGGAAAAAACATACAACCATGAATAGTCTACCCCGCAAAGCTATCATTCAGATTCGAGAGAGAGATAAAGAGTTTTACAGACATGTGAAAGCTACACTGAAGCAATTTTACAAGAAAACCTAAAGGGACATCTCTAAGTGGGAAAAGAAAAAAAGGACCACAACTGGAAATATGAAAATTACAAAAGGAAAAATCTCATTGGTAAAAGCAAACATATAGTAAGGTAGTGGAATAACCACTTATAAAGCTAGTAGGAAGGTTAAAAGACAAAAGTAGTAAAATCATCTACAGCCACAATAAGCAGGTGTAAACTCTGATGTCAAAACTCTGACGTTTACAAAAAGGTGTAAACTCTGACGTCAAAAACATTAAATATGGTGAGGGTGCAGGAGTGGAAATGCAGGACTATCAGAATGCATTTGAACTTAAGAGATCATACTCAATGGTGAAAAGCTGAAAGAATTTCCTCTAAGATCAGAAAAAGACAAGTATGCCTACTCTGTCCACTTTTATTCTGCAAGGTATTAGCCCTAGCCAGAGAAACCAGACAAGAAAAAGAAATGAGGAATTCAAATAAACAATTGGAGTCTACAGATTCAATGTAATTCCTACCAAAATACCAATGGCATTTTTCATGGAACTAGGACAAATAATTCTAAAATTTGTATGGAAAAAAAGAATGAAACATTGCCATCTGTGGCAAACGGATGGACCTAGAGATTATAATCGGAGAAGCCAATGGCACCCCACTCCAGTCCTCTTGCCTGGAAAATCCCATTGATGGAGGAGCCTGGTGGGCTGCGGTCCATGGGGTCTCTAAGAGTCGGACACGACTGAGCGACTTCACTTTCACTTTTCACTTCCATGCATTGGAGAAGGAAATGGCAACCCACTCCAGTGTTCTTGCCTGGAGAATCCCAGCGATGGGGGAGCCTGGTGGGCTGCCGTCTATGGGGTCGCACAGAGTCGGACACGACTGAAGCGACTTAGTAGCAGAAGCAGCAGCAAAGATTATAATACCGAGTGAAGTAAGTCAGACAGAGAAAGACAAATATACGATCTCATTTATATGTGGAATCTAAAAAATAATACAAATACACACACACACACACACACAAAAACAGAGGCGTGAAACAGATGAGGGAGATTAAGAGGAACAAACTTCCAGTTATAAAATAAACATGTAACAAGGATGTAATGTACTGCACAGGGAATATAGTCAATAATATTGTAGTAACTTTGTATGATGCTAGATAGCAACTAAACTTGAAAAGTGTGAGTTGCTCAGTCGTGTCTGACTCTTTGCGATGTCATGGACTATAACCCGCTAGGCTCCTCTGTTCATGGAATTCCCCAGGCAAGAATACTTGAGTTGGCAGCCATTCCCTTCTCCAGGGTATCTTCTCAACCCAGGGATCGAACCTGGGTCTCCTGCATTGCAGGCAGATTCTTTACCACTTAAGTCACCTGGGAAGCCCAGTAACTAAATTTATGGTGATCATTTTGTAATGTATAAAAATATTGAACCACATATATTTTATACCTGAAACTAATGTGATATTTTAAGTCGATTATACTTCAATTTTAAAAAGAATGTTTCTTGAATTGCAAGGGCAATGCAGATTAAATACACTCAAATATTCATTTATTGGTAGAGGGACCACAGAATGGTTTAGTAGAAACAGACAGGGTTGAAAACCTGCAGCTAACTCTGCAGATGAATCTCTCTAGGAAGTATGTGAGAACAGCCTCACGTGGTTAAATTATTTCTGGAGAAAGAAAGAAACTTGTTTTTTATTCAATTTGGCTTAGAAAAAGAGAGAAAATGTGCAGATTAATATGACTGGTAATTACTTGACTTTAGAAATGCCAGCTTGTCCAATGAGAGTTGAGAAATTAACCACCACAGACAGAAAACTCTAGATAACATAGATTTAATCTACCAAGGGGTTGTTTGCCTTGCTCTTTCATAGCGTTGTTTAAAAAAAAAAAAAGATGGACTTGCCACTTAAACACAAATTTTGACATTCCTTGTCTCTGTAACACAAAAACAAAAAGCAGAATCAGGAGCCACAATCTACACTTATCACCAGTAAGGTCATAAACTCTCATTTACCTGACAATCTTGGGACAGTTTGGGAGATGTTTTCCACGTGTGGTGGGTTGTGATTTTGATCATCTGATGGATCATCTTCTGTGAGAAAAAAATAAGCACGATTACCAAGGTTCGCCAAATACGGTCAATTTTCAAGCTCTATTTCAACTTTAGAAAGCCATTAACTATGAGAAAAGCAGCAATCCATTACAAGACCAAGAACAAGGAACAACCCCCCCTCCCCCCGCCGGCTGCATTCCCATGATGGAGACTCCATCCAAGTTGTCCATCAGTAACATCCTAGGCCTGGTAAGATCGTCTTGAACGAGCCCAGAACCAAGAAATTTTGGCTTTGCGCTTGAGGAAAAGATGAAGTTTTACATCTTTAGAATTTCTTTGGGTTTCGTTTCACTCAGGAGGCTCTAGCATAGAAATGCGCCTTTGGCTGTGTTAACACTTCACTGCTACGCTGCTACTGAAGACCACACTCACTTCAGGGGAGCTACTACTAATCATTAAGGGCTTGAACTCTCCCCAGACCTGGGCACACTCTTTCCAAGACACTTCACTTCATCAAAAGGATAATTTCTTCACCCCTCTTCCTAGCCAGCCATCTTAGTTTTTACCATTAATTCTGGTTTTTTGAAAGGTCTGCTAAGGAAGAGATGCAGACAGTGTGGTCTGGGATTTCCTGGTCCCCAGAGTAGCCCAGAGTGGCTCCTGGCTTCTGAAGAGGGGTCCAGTCAGCCTCTTTTTTCTTGTGGGGTGTCACCTTCACCACTGTCTGCAGGGGCACCTCAGACCCCTTCTTTCTTCACCCCCACCTTCTTCTTTGATCTTCCAAAGTTCCATGCAAGCACAACTGAAAACACTTCTTTTGGTGGCAGGGAGTATGTGATGCTAGGTCTCTGCTGTGGTGCACGGGCCTCTCTCCAGTTGTGGCAAGCAGGCTTAGTTGCCCCTTGGGCATGAGGGATCGCTGCCCCAACCAGGGATCAAACCTGAGTCCCCTACATTGGAAGGTGGACTCTTCACCACTGGACCACCATGGAAGACCCTAAAACATTTTTTAAATACCTTCAAATGTAGCAGATTTCTGTCCAGCAATTATTAGTGACACTGATTCTCTTACTAGCTGTGAGCTCTTGGAAGACAAGAATGCCCCCTCTCGTTCTCCAATTCCTGGCACAATGCTGACCACTGAGAAGGAGAGCAACAGATAGGTCTTAACTGAGATCTCAGCTGCAAGCAACCTCATGAAAGACACTGAGCCAGAACACCAGTTACACCTGTCTTCCTGGCCAAGGCTGTAGCTGTCTGAAGGCCGAAAAGTACTGCAGGGTCTGCTTCCAAGACGGCTCACACAGCTGTGGGCAGAAGGCCTCACCTCTGCATCGGCTGCAGGCAGGATGACTCAGGTCCCTGTCACAGGGGACTCCTTAGAACTGCTGGAGGGTCCTTACCACATGACAACCAACTTGCCCTTGGGCGAGCAGACAATCCCAGACACAGCTGGGCGGAAACCCCAGTGTCTTCTCTGACCTAATCTCAGGAGTGGCACGTCACTTCTGCCACATTCAGTCATCAGAGGCAAGTCACTAAGTTTAGCCCACAAGCAAGGGAATGGAGATGAAGCTCCATCTTTTGAAGGGAGAGGTATCAAAAAATTTATGGACTTATTTTAAAACTGCAGTTTTTGTGACCTTTTGTGACCCCATGGGCTGTAGCCTGCCAGGCTCCTCTGTCCATGGGACTCTTCAGGCAAGAATACTGGAGTGGGTCGCCATCCCCTTCTCCAGGGGATCTTCCTGACCCAGGGGTTGAAACGGCATCTCTTGCGTCTCCTGCATCAGCAGGCAGATTCTTTTATCACTGCTCTACCTAAAATCACAGTAAGAATGAAATTCCAAGGAAAACAGCTGAACAAAAAAGGAACATCCACTTGTGTTCATATAAATGAGGATTTTGATCAGCTGCCTCTGGTTTGGTGTAAGAATTGTGGATGGAGAGAAGTGACACCTTCACAGAGGCGTCTACACTCTGCAGGGAGCCAGGGTCTGGGTATACAACCTGCACCATCAAGCAGAGACCCCTGAAGGGTCCCCAAGATAGTAGACTGAACCGCACGAAACTGGAGATCCTTGACAGTTTTTGACCTACAAAAACAGTGAGTTCAAATGATTCAACCTAACATTAGAGTCCCAAGGGAGGTTTTCTAGTCTACATATTTCTTCTAATTTTGAGACTCCTAGAAACCCAACATTATGGATTACCAAGATAAGTGTGATGATCAATTTGTAATATGATCCTTTGTTTACTAAGAAAATACAGAATTGGCTTCACACCAAGTTTAGATTGATCACTGCACACCTTGGGGATCTGAGAAGAGAGAGGAAACTAAGTCCATTTTGTACTTAGAAAGTGGTCAAACATCCTGTCAAGCTCCTCTCAAGGAGAAAAAGCAATAAAGCTGATGATCGATCGACAGTTTTAGAGGTGATGTCATTTTTGGTAATATGCAAAAGTTGCAATCTACCAACAAGACCAGTAGGGATATGCTGCAAAGGTCTGAGGGGGCCAGCACATTTTTCCCAGGGGACCAAGCTTAATGGGGCACCAGGGACTCCTGGCCCCCTCCTGTGTCATAACAGGGAGGCAGCAAGTGCTCCCTGTCAGTGGCTGTATTTGCCAACTCTTTCATATGGCAATTACTTGAGAGTAAAACGCTGCCCTCACTGTTCTCCCCTGGTAATGTTTCCAGCACATCAGCAGCATGGATGGAGCCCACTCAGCAGAAGACAGGAGGAGGTCTTGCTCTGGGAATACTGGGTAGCTGGTCTAGTGAGAAAATGTAAGGATTAGTCACGAGCAATGGCAAATTACCGCTCAGTGTGGTGTCCGTGAAACTCTTTTGACTAAAAGTTCTTCCGGGTGTCCTTAAAAGGGACACTGGGTAGTCATGTCACAGAAAAATGGGATGACGTGGACTGTGTTGATAAAGCCACTCTCGCCCATGTGTGGTCCTCAGCACAAAGACATCCTCTTGCTTCTTTCAGTGGAGACCCAGATACCAAAGAGATGCCCGACCATATCTAATTTATGACTATCATGCAATTTACAGAAGGAAATGTGTAGGGCAAATTCAGGGATATTAGAACTATTTATTTTAAAGAGAATTCTGTGGTAAATTTATCTTCGAAAACCATCTAAGCCAATGGTTCCAAATGCCAGGGGCTGGCGTCTGACCGACTGAAGCCAAGTCACTCAGAGAATATGAAAAGATATGCAGAACCAGGACTCCACTTCTAGAGATTCCTGGTCACTTCTGGAACTAAGATCCCCTGGAGAAGGAAATGACAACCCACTCCAATATTCTTGCCTGGGAAAATCCCATGGACAGAGGAGCTTGGCGGGCTACAGGTCAGGGGATCACAAAGAGTCAGACATAACTGAGCCACTAACACTTTCTACTTTCTGGAAATAAGGATTTTTTTTTTTTTTTTTTGGCTGGGGGTCGGGGGTGGGGGCGGCATGTGAGAATCTCAGTTCCCTGACTAGAGATCAAACCTTTGTCCCCCGCATCAAAGTGTGGAGTCTTAACCACTGGACCACCAGGAAAGTCCCAGAAGAAGGATATTTAATAAGCTCTTTCCATTCCACAGACTCTTCTGTGTGGCTGATGCATAGTTGGGATTGGGAACCACTGACCTAGTTTCTATTTCTGCACCCAGAAAAGCCTACAGAGTTGCCAGCTCAGACAGTGACATATTTGGCCTTTTTTGTTTTTGTTTTTCTTGGCTGCACCACGCAGCTTTTGGGATCTTAGTTCCCTGGCCAGGAATCAAACCTGTGCCCCCTGCAATTGAAGTGCTGAGCCTAACCACTGGACTGCCAGGGGAAGTCCTTATATTTCCTTTTAAATCTTTAAATCTGTCAAGGGAAGAAATGCTGCATGAGATTCTAGTTCCTTATCCTGTCTTCATCCCGTTTGCTTTCATCCTAATTGGATCTGAGATGAGTCTGCTCATCCTCTGAAGGGATGGAGAGAGGCCTCTGGGTACCCCTTCCAGGAAGTGCTCAGCCCCTCACTAGCCCTGCCCCCCGGGATAGGAGAGGGACTTCACTGGTAAGTTTGGGAGGATTCAGGTGCTTGTGACTGGCTCCTTTCTCCTTCCCTTTCTCTCTAGCTCTCTACATCTCTCTCTCTCTGCAGACAGCAGACATTTTGATCTGCTCCTCTATGCTATGAATTTTACAAAAGCCACATCTCTCGTGGAGGGAACTGAAGAAGGCAAGGGCATCCTAAACCTTACCAGTGATCACAGCACCCCTCCTAGCTTCAGGTGAAGCACCCCATTAGCCAGCCAAGTATTCCTGGAGAAGATGGTCTAAGCGCCATCTGCTGGGGCTTTAGCTTAGTGTCACACTTTGTTCTGAACTTGGGCAAAGGGAAGACGTATTACTTATTGACCCCTAACTCCACTTTCATCCATCTGCATTTACCGTTATTGGACATTCTGTCTGTGCTATCAAAGAAAAGTTCTGGTTCATGAGAATTCCCATCAATGGTTGCTCCTGTGATGATGAAACACATGAAAAAAATAAAAAAAAATTTATCAGTACATCCTTAAAAGCATCTTAGGCCCATATTTTCAGTGTTTTTTAAATTATTTTTCATATTATTCTCCATTATGGTTTGTCACCGGATATTGAATATAGTTCCCTGTGCTGTACCATAGGACCTTGCTTTTATTAATCCTATATATACTAGTCTGCATCTACTAATCCCAAGCAGCTCTCAATCCAGGGCTGAAATGCTAATATAGAAAGCAAATTGTACTTGGAAAGGTGTGTTTGGAAGTGTGTATGTCATTGTGGAGAGAAGCACCAGCCAGGTGCTGATTGCAGAGGCCACGGGAACGGAACCTCAGAAATGGAAGTTCACATCTTTACGCAAAGATTTCAAATGCTCACCGCTCTGCAGGCAGCTCCTGACACACAGCTCCATCCGTGCGACCTGTGATCTGCCTAACCCTCAAAGTGTTCCTTCAAAAATAATGTTATGAAGCTGCTTTAAAGGGATGTCCCTAGGGCAAGTG